CTACCTTCTGATTTGCAAGGAAAGACTAGTGCTTAAATTTGTCAGAGATGTATTTCTGGTACCCACACTTAGCTTTTACAAAGCTCATATTATTGCTTTTTTGAACACTTGCAAACGGTATTTTAGGAAAAAAATTTAAGGGAAGTCCCAAATTCCATAACTTTATGCTCATTCCTGAGAATCTAAAGCTTGATCAGTTTCTCACACTTTCTTACTTGAAGTAAAGCAAAATTCCAGAAGTACTAAAATAGTTTTTAAATTGAATTTTTAAATTGTTTCCCCTGAATTTCACTGTTTAAAAAGCTGACTGAAGTATATTTATTTTGTAATGTGTTTTATTCCTTATTTCTGTCATTGTCAGATAGACCTGGGCTGGAAGATCCCCACTGGAAAGCTAAGTTGGATGTTTTGGAGACTGTGACCCATAAGGAATGAGAAGATGTCACAGTCAGTATACAAGTAGAAAAAAAATAACAGTTAATATCTATTAAGAAGGGACACTTCAGTAAATGTTGCTGTGAGTGGTATACTGGAGATCCCCACAGCAACTAACACTTTTAAACTACTGTGAGGGAGATGTGGTCTGCATTTTTCTTTTTCATTAATGCTTAAAATGTGCCTGACCGTATTATTTCTTTGCAATGATAGCACTGACTTTCTTGACCAATGTTGAATAAGCAAACATTAAAATTCTGTAGCTACTCATCTTAAATATGAGGAAAGAGAATGGAGAATTAGACTGAGTTACAAGCGACCGCTGTGTAGTTAGCTTTGCCTGAAACTTTTGTGGCCAAATGAAGAAGTTTGTTTTAGAAATTTACATTAGCATCATGTGGAACAATTTTACAAGTACAGTCACTCTGAGCTTGCATCTCTCTGTCCTATTTATTAACCCTGTTGCTTGTTAGGAATGAAGTAGGAAATGTTGTGATAGTCCAATAATTCAGCAGCAGAATACTTCTGCAAGATGTACGTGCATAGATGCAGGGGATGGGGAAAGTTAAACTCACTTTTTTTAATTATAGCAAGAGGGGAATTTTTTCAGGCTAGGTCATCATATTTTCTAGAAGACTGCAGCTTATTAATTGCACTCGTTTTCTTGCTTTGAAGAAATAAAAACTCTCCCCCCTACAAAACCTTATACCCCACAGAGGTTTCTGGCTGTCATACACAAGGTCCAAAGCTCGTCACATCTTCCCTAGAAGGACTTCAGTAAACTTCAGCTTGGATACAAAATCCTTGATTCTGGTTTTCAAAGTAGCTGGTTACCTTAGCTTTAGGTGAGGTTGAATCCCTTTCTGCAGTATAATCCTAGTTACTGTGTATTGGTGTATATGATGAAGGTGATCTTCTAAATAACTTTACTTTCCAGCTTCCATAGTATGTGCAAGAAGAACTGAGGACATCTGTGCATTTCCTTCTAACTGCTGTCTTCATTCTATTAAGGTTCTTGCCATTTTATCTCCTCCTTCTCCTAACATGTTTTAGAAATGCTGGCTTTCAGAAAAATATGCAGCGTACTTGGAATGGACCCCTTGCCACCTCCTAAAAGTACATTTAATGCGTGCAATAAAAAAAGAAGAGACAGCTGAAATGGCAGAGGACAAGGGAGATGGGAAGGACAAAAAAGAGGAAGATGCTGCCTAACAATGCTATTGCATTTGTAAGATAACGTTCACGTTATTCCAATTTTTATGCAAGTTTGTTTTAGTCTGACAATTTTAATAACTTTTTCCTTTATATAATGTACTGTAGATAATTTTAAATTGTACTATAATCACTACAGAAATTGCACCATTCCTTAAGAGTGAAGTTGCCTATAGCAACAGTTCCTTCCTTTCTGTTATGTCTCCTTCCCCTCCCACTCTCTTACTCTAGAAGAAACACTTCCTGCAGCAAAATAGGTAGACAGAGGCAGATACTATTAAACTCTGATGTTTGCCTATGTGGTGTACAAAGCAAAGCACAAGCTTGCGGTTTGTTTTTTAGATATTTTCTGTATTATTTTAGATTTCCAGCCCTGATCAGGCACTTTCTAGCCTGATCTGAAGCAGTTGAAATTGGCATAGGGCCTTTTCCGCTTTTGGAGAGGGATCTTGCACTTTGTGGGCTCCCACCTAGGAGCAGTGATGTGGATGCTGAATTGTACAGACATATAACTGATTGGGGTTTTTTTGGTTGTTGTTATTTGTTTGCAATTGACCAACCAAATGTGTGAAGGAGAGCCTGTAATGTGGCTTTAATGTTTTGTAATGCTATCTTGTTGTAATGCTATGGAGAAAAAGAAATGAAATTGCACACTTCTGTCCTATGTGATGTTGCTGGTTAGCTAACAGATTGTCACACACTTCATACTTATGTTCTACATTTAAGCTTCACTTTTTAAATCTCTATTCGTATTCTTTCAGGCTGTTTGGAGTTTTTTGAACCACTGCTTTTTAGGACTTATTGAAAAATTTGTTTCTGTATTGTTAGTTTGTCATCAAATGCTTCTTCCTTGAAAGTGCAAATTGTTTGGGGAGGGGAGGGTAAAGCAGTTTCCCTTTAAACATTCTGGCTTAAGAATTATAAATGGAACAAAAACACATATTTGAGGAGGGATGCAGTTAAGTGTTTCTGTAATTGTTTAAACAGGTACAATGTATTTAACTAGTACTGTGCCATTTGTTCTGAACTGAATGTTACTCAGTTAACTGGCTCTGCTGGAGCTGCTGACATCCTTCTGTACGTTTATGCAGTAGAGGTTCAATAACGTCACGTGGGCGGAAGCCTTGATTCTGATCTACCTTTTGCCTTATGATTAACTTCATCTGTTGCTGGTAATTCAGCAAGATTGGGGAGTGTTGAAATACCATGTACGGTTTCTAGCCTTTTACCTTGGTCAGAGCAGAAAAGAGGATACAACAGTGCATCCACTCCAAAGAGCTTCTCTCATTAGAAATTAGGAAGTAAAAACATTAAACAGTGCTACAAGTACCCCCAGAATTGAAGGAAAAGTCACCAGTGCTAAAAATAAGTTTAACTGACGTGACAGGATAGCTGATGTGGATGCCTGTAACAACGAAGAACCCAGATATGAAACATCCCTTTGAGTGCTGCGCATCCCCCCCTCAGTCATGACACAAACACGGACACTGCAGTGAGGGCCTGGTGCTGCTAGATAAAACCGCTGCCGAGACCTAGTGTAATGAACTGAGGTTGTCAGCTGTAACAGCACATCTTCCACTTGTCCCTTGAGCACAGGGACAAGGGCTTTCCCACAAAATCTACTTTCTCACTGGGGTGTAGATTTGTGCAAATGCCATCTGCTCTCTAAGGGTTTAGTGAAAATATCTCTGCTGTCTACACTGCTCCTGACTGGGGGAAGGAGGGGAATTCTTCTTGGAACAGTCAGTCTGGCTCCTGCAGCCCACTTGCCTGCGGGATTGCCATGCAAGTAGCATAGAGATGCATAACAGCACTTGGACCTAGTGATGTATCTATTTTCTGTAGTCACCTGTTGTAAGCAGGATAAGATAAAGCAGTGTTTAAAGGTTCAGTCCTTGCCTAGGGGGAAATGTCCACTTAAATGGTCCTCCCAACATCGCTGTTGAATTGGTGGTATCACTGGTGAGAAGTCTGGCTCTAAATATAAAAATGTTAGCTCTAAAAAGGGACATTTAAACTTAGTGATGTTCTTTTTAAATGTCTGAAGTTGGATGTCAAAGGCTGAGAAAGCCTTCCTGTGCTGCCTTTATGAACAACAGAAAGAAAGCGGTGCTGCTAGGATAGCTTGACTTACTCAAGGTTGGCATCTGAAACCAGGTCAGCTGCGTCGCATTCTGGAGGTGCCTGTTTTTCCTTTGGCTGTAGAGAAAGCCAAAGGCAACATGGATCCTTGGCTTTAGACGCTAAAAGGAGAGGTAAAATGAAACCCCTAAGTTGCCATGGAGGCAAGGTAGGAAGATTTGCCTGCTTTTGTGACAAGTGTCACCATTTTCTGATTTCCTTTTGAATGCTTGAAATGTGGGACAGATTTCTCAGGCGGAGAAGTTGTTGCATTTCTGATGAATCCAACTGTATTGTCAACTTGGGGACTGAAGAGAACTGAGTAGGCAAAGGAGAGCTGTATAAAACTTTGAGTAGAGCTGTGTATTAAAGAAGGGAAGAAGACAATTTTGAGGAATCCTACTGGGAGATGGGAGGAATTGAAATGCTCTGGGTTCATTCTTTAAACAAATACGTATTTATTTCAAAACTACTTTTTCTTTTGAATTGCCAGTATTTTTAAAGGATTAAACACCATTTTATTAGAGAAAAAATTAAAAAGATCAAATTAACTGTGTTTGCCTGAGATTGCTTTTTTTTTTTTTTAAACCCATTTTATTCAGAAAATTGGAAATGTTGAAGGTTAGGGTAAAACTGGTCTCCAGGTTTTTGGCTAGTGTGGTGAGTTGCAGAGGCAACTGTTCCCTCTGCTCTAATTGTAGATGCTGGAGGATATAGATAAGCCCCTGCCATTTGACAGCATTGTGCATTTAAGGATCTCTCTGGGCTTTACAATTGCCCATTTCAGCCTGTGATGTGTCTGTGAGTGGTTTTCATCCCATATAGAGTGGACAAGGCGCATACATGCTCCTGGATCAACCTCCCTTAAGTCTCAGGCAAGTTGATGTTGAAACAGGGTTAGACATCAGGAACCGTGGTCCTGCTGTGTCCTTTTCTGAGTCTCTCATTCCCCCTAGAGAGCAGCTGCTACTCACGGTCACCTGCTGCTCAGGAAGATGCTCTGATCATGGTAATCAAGGCTGTATCAGCGAATCTCACTCTATTTGCGTAGTTGATCATTAATTTTCTGTGAGTGCTACACAATGCAGTAGGATGTGAGATCTGGCAATCTCCAATGCCTCTTCTAGTGAGGGTGTGTACTTGTGCTATTGAAGGGTAAAAGTCATTTTGGGGTAAGCGTTGTCAAATAATGAGTCATCTCTGATTAATGTTTGACTATATAGGCGGCAGGCACTAGGACCTCCAGGACACTCTGCGTCTACAGCGCTAACCAGAAGAGAAATCAGGAAATAACGCAGTGGCTCTTTCTGGGAGCGTGTCCTTGAAAATAAAGCTTTGCTGCTCCGTATGAAAAGGGATTTATTCTCCAGGAATTCAGGGATTTGAGTCCCGGCTTAGCCGTGAGCAGCCCTGAGACATCGTTGCCCCCAAGGCCTTGCATGGACATTTCTGGGAGGTAAGTGCAAAGGTCTATTAGAGTTGTTGAGAGCAGGTGATGTTGTCATGTCTGCTCTGCTGGTGGAGAGAGATGAATGTAGTGTTAGTGTAGTGGTCAGTGGAGTAAACAGCCAGGTGTCACCTGTTCTTCAACAAATGAACTATACTCAGCATTTGTCTAAGTGACCCTTTAGTGCGATGGCGTATCTGTAAAACAGGAGAACTTCTCCAGCTTGTATTTCAAAGGTGCGTGTGCAATATATCCGTCTCAAGTTTCAGTGCAGAAGTTGCAGTCTGCTAATGTGTGTGTGCCCTCTTCCACCACTGCGGTTGGGTCATGGTAGCTCTTCAGCTGGAGTCACTCTGTGCACTGGAAACAAGCCTAAACTCTTCAGTCAGGGTCGGGGAGGTTCAGAACTGAAATGCATAGTATTTCTGCACTTCACTGCAAATATACAGGTTAGCTGGTTTAAAAAATTGTGGAATAGCTTCCGGAAAGGGGGATGTGGGTGGGCAAATGTCTCCTCCTAGGCTTTCTGCCCATACATCCTACTTGAGGGAACATACGTTCTAGTGATGGGAACCACATGGACCAAACATCTCCAAGAATAACAGTTGCTTTACAACAAGGTATGTGAGTGGCACCAGAAAGAATATGATTCACCTATATGCTAGCTGGTGTCTGGGCTGATGTGCCAAAGGGTCTCCAAGTTTGCCCAGGGACAGGTATCTGGCGGTGTATATCTGGCAGTGTACCTCTCTTAGCCCTTGCAGTGGCTTTACCAAACCAGGCTCACCAGATGTGTCAGCTGGGAAGAGAGGAAGACATGCCCTTGGGTGCCTAGCCCAGAGCACCTGGGCCACCCGCAGTCCGCACACATGGAGGCAGGACTGAGCAAAGAGCTGTTGCTTTGCACCAGAAATGACTGTCCTGGAGGAGCAGAAGATGAAGGAAAACCACCAGGGCAGCTATTGTCCCTCCTAGCTGAGGTGGCATATCCTTTCTCAGTACCGTGGGGGCAGCCAGTCCATCGGTCCTGTGTGTTCCTGTGGAGACCTGGGTTGCCCTGCAGCATGGGGGATGGAGTGATTCCTATCCTGTGAGCCCTGTACCCAGATGATCCTCACCCACACTGGATGTGTTACACAGCTCACCTGCATCCCAGCAGGTAGGACTTTGGCTGTGTCTGTGGGGGAATATTCAGAGGGCTGCTGGCTTTGCGTCTCTGCCCAGAAGCTTTAGTCCACCAAGATAATATATGTGGCACAGATGGGCTACAGGACAAAAGGATGTCTGTACTAGGTGAAGATGGCTTCTGGAATAGAAAAAAACTGCTAGCCACTAATATTAGCCTTGAAACAGCTGCAGCTGTCCCTTTTTGTGGATCTTCACTTTGTTCTGGATTCTGGCTGAGGGTAGATGGAAGCTGGCATGGTAAGTCTTCACATCGTCGCAGTCACCTAGACAGGCTGGGTTTTACCACTTGTGATGCAGAGGAGTGACCGTGACTCACCCTCCAAAAGAGGAATAGAGCAAAGACTGTCATCTCTGCTCCAAGGAGCTGACTGAGCCCCGCACCTCTCCCAGCCGTCTGGGGTGCTGCCTCCCACCCCTGCTCAGTCAGATGCCAGAGGCGTCACTGCGGGAGAAGGGAAGCCTGGCTCCTGGAAGTGAGAGCCCTCGTCAGCCGGTGCAGGGAGGCCTGACCTCGCCGTCAGGGATGGGTACACCACGCTGACAGTGCCCTGGAGGGGAAGGGAAACCGAACTGAAGGGAGAAAGGCCAAGAGAGCAGGGGAAACATCGTCCTTGTTGGAAGTTTCCAAGCAACAGTAGATTTTCCAACTGGATTTTCCAGAGAGAGGTGCAGATAGTGCTGGGTCCCTGCCACACATGGCCAGGCTCTTGTGTTAGCTGAGCACCAAGATCAGTGCACAAATAAAATCACTTCCCCCCTCCTCACACGTTCCCGTTCTTTGGAAGCTGACACTTCTCTGGCCGTTTTGAGGTCTTGAAAACAGAGAAGCACTGAGCTCCTGAGACAGATTCACACTTTCCAGTGCTTGGGTAGGAAGGAGCAAGGTGGGCACGACTCAGCTTCGCCTACGTGGAACGTGGGTCTCATCAGATGGCATATTTTATAAAGCCTGAAGCATGTGAGTCATGTGAATGCATGAGAAATCCTCATCTTCCTTTAGAAAAGGAAAGAAAGCATCTGCTTTGAAGTGATGGAGAGAAATTTAAACCAGCGAAACAGCCAGAGAAAGGGCTCTGAACTCAGAAGAAAACTTAAGGAACCCCCTTCTTTATTTTTAAAAGCCTAGTGATTTTTTTGGATGATGCTGTGACCTGGGGAGCTGCTGGGCCCGATATGCTCCCGTTCTGTTGTGGTTATAGGAGGCTGGGCAGTGCCACAGTGAACACAGTCCAGTACCCTGTGCTGTCCCAGGGCACAGGTGTCTCCTCCAGCCTGCCAGGCTGTATAGCTCTGCCAGCACAGGGTGCTGTGCAGAGTCTCAGGGTTGCACTGACTGGCTTAAAAGAAAGAGTTTGCACATGGAGCCCCCCCCATCTTCCCAGAGAGATGACACTGCAGATGAAGGGCCCTGGGATAAGAAGAGATGGATGATGGCAGCTGAAGCCCCACAGTTTTGAAGTGGAAACTGGACACGCGTATTCCCCAGAGTAGGCACTGACCCCAGTATTGGGGTCCCCAGCGACATGCTGGTCGGGCTTTGGGTGCTTCCAGCCCAGTTCTGGGTGACTGCCTGCCACGCACTCTCCACCCAAGGCAGCCCTATCCCTGCCCCAGAGCATTTTTTTGCCAAGATGGGCAAAGCTCTTTGCCTTGTTGAACCAGGCCCCTGCTCTGTGCATCCTCCAGGACCCCATTTCTCTGCCTGGACTTTCACTGAGTGTGAGCGTGGGACCCCTCAGAGGATCTCCGTCACCCGATGTGGCAGATGTGCAGTGGGGGATTCCCAGAGTGATGAGTTGGTGACAGGTAGCATGGGAGGGCCTGCAATATCATCCCACAGCCTGAGGATGTGACAATCTTGCCTCATCCTAACTTAAACCACAGAATCACAGAATTGAGGTTGGAAGGGACCTCTGGAGATCATCTAGTCCAACCCCCCTGCTTGAGCAGGGTCCTCTAGAGCATATTTCCCAGGATCACGTCCAGGCGGGTTTTGAATATCTCCAGGGAAGGAGACTCCACCACCTCTCTGGGCAACCTGTTCCAGTGCTCAGTCACCTTCACAGTCAACCCATCAACAACCCTGCTCCAGGCAGCCCTGATACTGGCCTGGCTGCTTGATGCATCCCACATCAGCAGGGTCCCTGCAGCTGGTGCATCTCCCAGCCCCGGCCCTCATGACCCTGCTGACTGGGAGCTGCTGAAACAGAAGATGAGAAAGCAAGTTCCTAGTAAAACCACATTCCCCCCAGGCCCTGCAGTCGCTGTGAGGGCCTCACATAGCGACAGCAGCACTGGTGGGTGGTGAAATGCCTCTTTGGTTTCCTACCCCGCTCTGGGGCTGCGGTAGGTTTTCCTTATGCTCTGAGCTGGGCCTTGGCAGGGGGCTGGGTGGGCTCCAGAGTCAAGGCACAGCTGTGAACTTGACAGAAATGGGTGCAACCCAGAGAGAAAGGGGTTCACTCGAGGCATGAGCGTGCAGCAGGGGCCAGGATGCTTCGATCCTGTTCCCACACAGGACTACAGGAGCCTCCTCGGGATATGCACAGTGCAGGGAGGGTTGGCAGTGCACTCTGAAGCACCCTGGACTTTTTTATCCCTCCCCATAATGTTGGGCCAGCGTGGGTGATGGAGAGCCTTGCGAGGAGCTGTGCTAGGTAGTGTTGGCCAGGAGAGAGCCTGTGGGGAAAGGAGGAGCAGCCTGGGACAAGGCTGATGATGGTGCCGCAGCTCAGCCCTGGTCCTTCTGCAGGGAGACCCCATGGCAGACGCAGCCCTGTTAGGACATTCACTGGGGTGGTTCTGCTCAGGGGGGTGGCCTGGCTTCCCCATCCTTCTGCAGCCCCGTTTCCTTTCTTTTCCCCAGGTGACGGCCGCGCTGGGAGAAGACAAGGAGTTGCTGATGCACTGCCAGCCCAGCCAGCATGTCCGGGGTGAGTGGAGCTACCCTGATGCAGGGAATGGGTCCTAAACGTGGGTGCCTGTGGGCACAGCCCCATAGCCCCACTTGCACTTGGGTGCATGAGTACAGACTGGCAGCAGCATGTGGGTGCAGCCCCAGGACCAGGGAACAAATACCCTTCAAGGTGGCCTGATGCTCCCCCTGCTCCCCACTCTGCTCTGCCTGGCCCGTATGTCCAGGCTCATTGCTTGTGTGGGACCAGGTCCCCCTGTCTCTGCTGTCCCCAGCCTGCACAAGGAGCTGACCTTCCTGGGATGTGCCAGTGTCCCAAGCCTGGGCAGGGGGTACCATCCCCTCCTGGGCTGGCATAGGGATGCTAGCACTTCCCCTGCCAACATCAGGGTAACCCGTCACCCTGGGGCACAGCAGGGTGCAGGAAGGGTCAGCTGGGCAGCAGGCTTGTGCCCTGCACCCTTTGCCCCCGCTGTGACTGGCGTGCCTCCCACATCAGCAGTGCAGTCATCCCATCCAGGGGCTTGAATGGCCCTTAGGGCTGGCCCTAATGGCTGTGGGAGGCAGAGGGGGCATGCCAGCTCACTGTCCGTGCTCACACTGTCTTCTCCATTGCAGAAACACTGGGCACCAGGGACGCAGTGCGTCACCAAGCATGACCACACCAAGCCAAAGGCCTGCGAGCTAGCCTTCCACAAGGGAGACGTGATCACTATCATTGAGGCTGTGGAGGTGAACTGGTGGGGGCAAAGGGTCATGGTGCCCTGGGAGGAGGATTGGCAGCAGCTGTGTATGGAGGGGAAGTGACCCCAGGAATATCGGGTGTCAGGCCGAGCTGCCATGGCTGGGCCCCCCCTTCATAGTAGGAGCCAGGGGCTGCATGCAGGTCACTACTTTCCTTCCCTCACACCAGCCAGCTGGTGGCACTGAGACCTACTCCACTTCTCGCCTCGCCAGGGCAAAGGGTGGTACCGCGCCAAGCATAACGACACTGGGCAGGAAGGGCTGCTGGCAGCCAGTGCACTGCGGGAACGTGGAGCCATCCGGGCAGACCCAAAGCTCAGCCTCATGCCGTGAGTACAGCCACATCCCACTGGGGTCCCGTGGATGCTGGGGACTGGCAGAGCCCCCAAGGACCTGCTCAGCCCACAGGCTTGGGCTGAGCCAGGACAGCAGATGAGTTCAACACAACTTCCCCCTGACGATGTGTTGAGTGGCAGATGCTAGGCTGGGTGGCTCTGCCCCAGGACAGTGGGGCAACTGGGGGGCAGAGTAGGCTGTGGCCATGCCCTGGTGACAGAGGGACTAGCTGAGGCCAGTAGCCGGCTCCGAAGGCTGCTGGTTGTGGCTTCATGGTTGTGGCCCAGCTTGGGTGGGACTGATGGGGAGGGGGTTTTATGGGATGGGGTCTGCATATCTGTGGTGGGAGTTGGCCGGGCCTCTGCTCTCTCCATCTCACTGCTGGAGCTGTGGGGAAGCGCATCAGCAGGCTCCACAGCCTCATCTCCCCAGCTGGTTCCATGGGAAGATCTCAGGGGTACAGGCGGTGCAGGAGCTGCAGCCCCCTGAAGACGGGCTGTTCCTGGTGCGCGAGTCCATCCGGCACCCCGGCGACTACGTGCTATGCGTGAGCTTTGGCAAGGAGGTTATCCACTACCGTGTGATATACGAGGAAAACACGCTGAGCATCGACAGCCAGCAGCGCTTTTGCAACCTCATCGACATGATTGAGGTCAGAGCCCCTTCCCTGGGCAGAGAGACTTGCGGGGACCACGTGCCCTGGGCTGACCAGGGCTGGGAACAAGGGTGGTCAGGATAGATCTAGCCCAGCACGTACCAACAGGGCATGCTGCGCAGAGGACCAGGATGATTCATACCCACCAGTGTCCGCACCACTCTGTCCTGCTTTGTACCAACACTGGCATCTGTGTGATGGCACAAGGAGCCAGTCTGGCTGCAGATAGGACCCCAGGCTTTGCAGGATCTGTTCCCCCAATGGAGATCTTCTGTGTGTTGATATTAGTCTATCCTGACTCTTCATTACATCCTGTTTCAACTGTGTGGGGATCACACAGAGCAGTGGTAGGTCCCTGCCCTTTTTTTCTGATTACTTCCCAACAGTCCCAGCCTTGATGGGCTTTTTGATTGCTCCTAAACACTGAGCTGGGCTGCTCACAGGGCAGTTATCAAACCCTGTGAACTTGGGTTTGTTTTGCTTCATGTGCCTCACGGTGCTGTCGCCTCATCCCCGTTGTACTTAAGAGCCTGTGCTCCCCATGTCTTGCCCATGAAGCACCTGTACCCACCGCAGCTCTGATACCCTACCCAGGGCCACATTTCCCCATGTTCCTGCTAATTTGGTGCTTCATGCAGCAGCTGGGCTTGTAGTATTTTGGTAAGTTCACATCACAATTGCCTCTTCCCCTCCTTTCCTACCCTGAGTGATGGGTCATAGGCACAGCATGAAGCACCAAATCCTACCCTGAGATTCAATACTATTTATTTTAGCAATTTGCTTTGAAAGCTCTCCTACCGATGCTTGAGACAGGCTCTTTAGCCTATCTATCTGCTGTGAATAGAGGGGACCTGCCTCACTGCCCGTAGCAAGCACCATGGCTTTCACTGAGACATTTTGCCATGGTTTTATTGCCTTTGGGATCTCTGTCACCTCTGGCTTGCTAACTCTGCAAGGCTCCTAATGCTGGCTAATTTATTATTAGCTCTCGTGCTCTTAGCAAGCTGTTCCTCAAAATCTTTTTGCCTTGTCTTATTACAGTTCTGTATTTCATCAGTGTGGGATTTGTACTCTCATATATTTTCCTCATTTGGATGTAACCTCTGCTTTTGGATAGGTCCTTTCCTCTTATAGCTCCCCTGGCCCTGCTCTTTAACCATTGCAGCTGTATTGCTCTGCTGGGCAGTATTTCTGTTTCCATTCTGCTTCTCAGCTCCTGGAGATCACCCTGCCGTGAATGCTTTATGCTCAGCCCTGCTCCTTTGAACTTATTTCTGACAAGTGTCTTTGTTGCACACCATTCTCTTTACAGAGCTGGGCTCTAGCATGTGGAGCTCCCATGGGTTTTAACATGCTGCAAGGACAGGGGAGCTGTGTGGGCTGCCACTCAGCTTTTCAGCAGTGTGCCTTATGGCTTCCTGTTTGTTACGGTGTCTCCCTTGCGGCACCCAGAGCAAAGCCATGTGCAGGAAGCAGGACCAAGCTGCAACCCGTAAATAACAGCCTGTCTCTAAAACTGCAGCAGAGCAGAAGGGGAAGCAGTGTCTGCCCTGCACATCCTGTGGGGATGCTTGGCCCTTGGTGCCGCTAGGGGCAGCAGGACAGCCTCCAGGCTTCGGCTAATGCTCAGGGCCAAGGCATGGCCACGCGCTCCCCTCTGTGGCTCCGCACAGGATGGGGAGCAGTGATCTCCCACAGGAGCTGGAGGCAGGCAATGGTGGGGGAAGCATCATCTTATACTGTCCTAGGAGGATTGACTCCAGGGCAGCTCGGAGCCCCAAAGCAATAGCCAGGGCCCTGGGGGATGGAGCAGAGCCTGGTCCCTCAGCAGAGCCATATGCTCTGGGGCAGGACGCTCCTACCACATCACAGCATCATCTGTGTCTCTGTGTTCATCCTTCTGCAGCACTACATGAAGGAGCAGGGAGCTATCTGTACCAAGCTGGTGAAGCCTAAACCAAAAACTGGCATGAAGTCAGCTGAGGAGGAGCTGGCCAAAGGTAGGGGATGGTGGGAGAGGGTCCAGGTCTGCATTTTGGGGAAGAACATGGCATGTCCAAGTTCTATGTGGTCTTGCTAACCTGCCCTTGTCCCTGTGCCTAGCTGGCTGGTTACTGAACCTACAGCACCTCACGCTGGGAGACCGCATTGGGCAAGGCGAATTCGGAGGTAGGTGAAGAGATGGAGCTGGATGTTCCCAGAGACCCCGGGAAATGGGCTGATTGTGGCCAGGGAGCATGAGTCAGGGCTGGTCCAGCCCCGGCTGCCTCCAGAATGGGAAGGATAGTGCTGACACAGACAGGGCAGCTGGGCCACTCAGTCCGTCCCTATGTCCCCTTCCCTCAGGCAGCCCCAGAGATGTCCCCAGACCATGCCCCACCCTTGCTTCCTACAGGCCTCAGATGCTCCTGTGAGCCCATGCTGTCTGACCTGTGGCAAGAGACCAAACCAAGGTGCACAGCAGGAGATGGCATGCAAAAAACCAGAAAACCCTGTCCACTGTCCCCACAAGGATCCCATCCCCATCCTGGAGGATACATTCCCACTTGGCCCTGAAGGCAGGACACACTGCCCCAGCACAGTTAATGCCACAAGGCTACATGTCTCACCCTAACCCACCAGTGGCCTGTCCCCAAAACCAGGGGCCACATGGCCAGACATGAGCACCCCAAGAAATATCCCCTGATGTTCTTCCTGGGCCCTCTCCCCCTGCTTTTCCTGGCCAGCCCATGGCTTGGGGGGCTCAGCCGGAAGCACCCAGCTTGGCCCGTGGGCTCACCCCATCCAGTGAGCACAGCACCGTGCCTGATGCCCCCGCGCCTCCTTCCCAGATGTCCTGCAGGGTGAGTACATGGGGCAGAAGGTGGCCGTGAAGAATATCAAGTGTGACGTGACTGCCCAGGCCTTCCTTGCTGAAACTGCTGCCATGACGTGAGTGCCCCATGTGGCTGGTGGAGGTGGGGGGATATGAACACCTTGTCCCTGTCCTGGACCCCAGGGATGAGCAGAGGGGCTGGGGAGGCTACATTTTGGAAGTCCCAGGGACAAGTTTCCGACTCTGGGGCACCTCACAGTATCCAATCTGCCTGCTTCCAATCCAGGCAACAGTGTTTGCCCCATCAGCACTATGCTGGATCACTATTTAAATCAGTGCATACCACTGAGACAGACGGTCCCACCGTGGGCCTGTGCTCAGCCCCAGTGCTCACAGCAGTGCATGGCTTGCGCCCAGGAAGGGCACCAGAGGAAGGGCAGAAGCTGGGGCCGGGGTACCTTTGAGCTGCAAAGTCCCATGTGGCAAAGTCCCACATCAGGGCCAGACTGCAAAGATGCGAGTGTCCTCATATCCCATTGTCACCCCCATCGTGCTGAGGGCTTGCCCCAAGCACACATGATCGCTGCAGACACCACTGTACTATCCGTGGCACTGGTTCAGCTCCACCCTCCTGGCACCCCCTTGACATTGTCCCCCCATTTCAGAAAGGTCCGGCACAAGAACCTGGTGCGTTTGCTTGGTGTGATCCTGCACAACGGCCTTTACATTGTCATGGAGTTCATGAGCAAGGTGAGAGCACCTGTCCCCAGCGCAGGCCGGTCTAGCACCTCTTCTCTGCCACAGCCAGGCCTCGTCCAACAGGACGTATTGTGGCTCAGATCTGGGGACAAAATCCTTGGTTTGGAGCTTAGTTGAAACTTGCCTGGGGCTAGTTCCAGCCTGGCTCTCAGGGAATAGCACCTTCCTCATGGAGGAGACTGGAGCAGTGAAGGCCCAGCAGGAGGTAAAGTCTCTTGGCAGCCCTTTGCCCTCATGCATTTCTCCTTCTCCATCAGGGGAACCTGGTGAACTTCCTGCGCACACGGGGCCGGGCTGTTGTGCGGACCAGGCAGCTTCTCCAGTTTGCTCTGTAAGTCAGAGTCCCTCTCCCCCCATCAGGGCATCAGCGGTCTCTGTGCCACCCCACTGGGCAGCCCTGGGAGAACACATGCTGAGGCTGTGTTTTGCCTTGGCTGCTGCAGGGACATCGCCCAGGGCATGGACTACCTGGAGTCCAAGAAGCTGGTGCACAGAGACCTTGCAGCCCGCAACATCCTCATCTCCGAGGAGAATGTGGCCAAAGTGAGCGACTTCGGTTTGGCAAGAGTCAATCCTAAGGGCACAGACAACACCTTGTTGCCCGTGAAGTGGTCGGCTCCAGAGGCCCTGAAACACAATGTGAGTGATGGAGGAAAGGACTGGGTGCCCAGGGGTACCCTCCTAAAGCAGCTTATCCCCTTGGGGCCCCCCTGCCCATATCCACCAACCCTTCAACCTGTCACCATCCACACCACACACATATGGGTCACTGCCCCATGGTGGCTTCTTTCACAGCCAGCCCCACATCTCCCAAGGTTTGGGCTTTGTCCTCTTGCCCAATACACGCTCATGCTGTTGCACAGTGGAGAATTACGGCAGTTCCTGCAGGACGCTGTAGGATGGAGCAGCTGGGACGATGTTAGGCACAGTGCATCAGACACAAGGCACTGCCAGTGATAGAGGGCTGTGGCGGGTAGGGAGGGTGTCCTGCTGGGTGTGGGGTTGAGGTCAAATGGGAGGGAACAGCAGCCAGAGAGGGAGGCAGAGGGCAGAGGTTTGCATGGGGGAAGTCAATATTTCTCCCATCTTCTCCTTGAGGAGGGATGGGGGGGGGTCCAACTTAGCCCTGCTTTTGGGTGGCTTCAGACTCCCTTCCCTCATGTCGCTGCAGAAATTCTCCTCTAAGTCAGATGTCTGGAGCTACGGGATCCTCCTGTGGGAGGTGTTCTCCTACGGCCGGGCACCCTATCCCAAGTTGGTGAGTGTGCTGGCAGGCACTGGCCTGGCCCAGCTCTCATGGTGCTGGGAGATGTATGATCTGGGTGACACCATGGTGTCTTGGCTGCAGGAGAGGCAGGAGGGATGGGACAGGATCGGGAGATCCCAGCTCCCCCAGCAGCCAGGGAGAGCCTCTGGCAGGACAGGAAAGGGGAGCAGAGATGTGCCACCTTGCTTCTCCTTCCTCTCAGAGCCTGAAGGAGGTGACAGAGATGCTGGAGCAGGGATACCGCATGGAGGCCCCTGAGGACTGCCCATCCACCATCTATGCACTGATGAAGAGCTGCTGGGAGCTGGAACCAGGGAAGCGGCCGTCCTTCAAGAAACTCATGGAGAAGCTGCAGAAGGAGCTGAAGCACTTAGGGGATGTTTAACCCACTGTCACCCTCCCTGAGTGCACAGGGCTCATGGCCAGTAACCCTCTGGACCCACCGGGGTTGGAAACAGCTCAGCAAGAGCAGCACAGTGCGTCTGAGCAGAGTGGTGGCCCAGGACACTTGTGTCTCCCAATAAAATGGGACAGCAGCTCCAGCAGGGCTCTTTCCTCCTCCAGGATGCCTGAAGAGGAGGCAACGGCCTTGCTTTGTCTTGATAAGGGGTCCTTCTTCCTACCTCTCCATTGACGAGCTCTGCACACACCTCTCACCTGTGGGGACAACACACATAGCCTGGTGCCCACGGTTTGGGCCTCCTAGAATGGCATTTGCCTGTTATCCAGGCTAAAGCCTGTCCTGACAGCTCCCAGCCCTGTGGCCAGGTGGGAATGGAGCCCAGGCAGACTGTGCCCTACCTTGGGGAGGCTGATGGGAGCAAGGGGAAGGACCTGCCTCATACAAAGCAGGGATGCACACATCCAGTGGCCCCCAAAGCTCCTCTGCGCACCAGATAACCAGGCTGGGCTGGTTGGTACCCGTGGCCAGGCTCGTTCTGCCTGTCTTTGCCTGATTCATCCCCCAGCGTAGCGTGACTGTCCTGGTTGTGCATGGCCCCTCTGCCATAGGCCAGCCACATGCACACGCCAGAGCCATGGCATGTGTGTCACGTAGCTGCTTTTGTTAGCTGCCAAACCCCAAGGATAATGGAGAACTGCTCCGGGTTTCCATTGGGTTGGGTGCTCTGGCCGTGCTCCTACAGGTAGCCAGGCAGGCCAAAGCATTCTGTGCTGAGACCTGTGCTCTGCCCACACCTCATGCTCTACCTGTGCCTCAGTTTCCCCTCTATACAGGCTCCTTGCTGCAAGACTAAGAAGTGAGTGCTGCCAGTGTGCCAGAGTGTTAACGTCCACTGGGATTGTGCCCATGTCCTGGTGCTGAGCAGGAGATGGGGAGGAATGGTGGAAATATGTGAGCCTGTACATGAGCTGCCTGCACCCAGTCAAAGCATTTGGACCCGCTGTGACTTCTTGCAGGGAGACACAGCAGGGCTGAGCACTGCTGGGGGTTCTCTGGTCTGTCCTGCCAGGCTCTATGAGAAGCCATGGGACATGTCCTGCCACAGGGCAGCTTTCCCTCAGCGCTTACCCTGTTGTCTGACCCTAAACAAGGAGCCCTCGTCACCCATGGCATTGCAGTGCCTTCCATGGACCACTTGCCAGCTGCAGCTTGGGTGCAAGCTGTGCTCGTAGCTGGGGTATTGATGGCTGGGGTATCAATGGACCCTCCAAAGCTCTGGGTGGCGCAGGACCCCTGGTGCCACCAGGAGTTTTCCCTGCCCAAAGATGGGCTGGGGCAGGTGACAGAGGTGGGTTGCAAATGCGCGAGGGTCCCTTGGAGGGACTGCCACCATTTTAGAGCAGCACCTCCCTGGTGGTGGGGCTGGGACATGTCAGCTTTCTTGAAAATTAAAACCCTGCTCTCGGCACAGCCTAACACCCACAATGGCCAGTGGCTCCCAGCCAGCATGGCGTCACCAAGCACAGCCAGCTAAACACCCGGATTTGGGTTTTTTTGATTAAACCAAAGAAATTAGTTCAACAGCATCTTTAAGCTTCTGGGCTCAAATTAGGCCTATTCCTCACTGTTGGGCTGTCTAGCTCGGGGCCAAGCACAGTGCTTGGCTTCCCAGCAAAGCCAAAGGGAAAGGTTTGCAGGGGCTGGGCGGAACCCTGGAGATTTGGCCCTCGAATCCTCTCCGTGCACAGCCCGGCCACTCTCGTCTCAGAGCTGCAGCTGTGTGCGGCCGGGGATTATTCTTTTAATCAGACTCTGTATGGGAAATTGCTTGCATATAGATTACAGGAGCAAGGCACGTCCTCCTGGCCGTGGGAAGCCCCCAGCCATGGGCTGACTCGCAAGCAATCTCCATGTCTCTGTGGAGCATAGATTAAGAGGGGCACAGGGGTATGTGTTCATATGTGTGTGTGTGTGTCAGCCCAGTGCCTTGTCTCCCTTCCAGTCTTTCAACCCTTGATTGAGTTTTTCCAGCTAAGCCTCTTGTGTCCCCTGCGCTGGCTTCTTGCACCTCCGACCTTTCGAAGCAGGCAGGGGCAGCTCTGGGCACCCATGGGCCCACAGCGCAGGGGTCCCACAACTGGATCCAGCCCTGTGGGCACTGTCCTCTGCCAGGGACTTGTGCAAGGGGGCTGCGGGGAGACTTTGCCTCATGCAGCTAGAGGAGCATCACCGATGGCTCTGGCTAGGATGCAGCCATGTGTCTATCCATCACTAACGGGCCTCTCTGATGGCAGGAGGGGGTTTTTTGGCCTGGCCTCCATCCGCTCTCAGCATTTCTCAGTTGGACCCAGGGAGCACTTGGGCTCTGTTGGCTCCCTCCAAGTCCACATTGCCCAGCTCTGCCATCTGAGGCCCCATCTGGGCTGAGCCTTGCTGTGGCCAAGGGCTCACTCCAGGCTTCCCCTTGCACCCACTGGCTCCTCCCGGAGCCCCCCAGGATGTCCCATGACCCTGCTACCCCCCCACATTGCCATCCCTGCCCCAAGGCAGTGGGTGCTGCAGGGTGCTGCATGCATGAGGTTGTCACTTCAAGGCTGTCCTGGGTTTCTGGGCTGGCCCAAAATCTGCCCCCCGAGGCCAGGAGCACCCTTGGGTGCAGAGAGCAGTGCAAGAAGATCTTTCCACACAGGTGTCTGTTGCTTCCCCTCCTAATGCCTTAATCTGTCCCTGATCCGCGGGAGCCCCTGGGGCAGCCGATCCCGCTGACCTTGCAGTCGGCAGGCCTGGGACAGGCACCTGGCGGCACTGGGCACTGCGGGGGCACAGGGCGCCACACAGCCTTCCACCCATGGCCACCTTTTTCACCACAGCCCTGAAGAGCTTCAGGGGGGACGAGAAGGAGCCCAAGGAGCCCCCCAAGGAAGGGAAGGCAGCTACTCTGCCCAACGGCATGGCCCGCGAGGAGTTTGAGGAGTACCAGCGGCAGCTGCTGGAGGAGAAGTAAGGCTTTACCTGGGGCACCGGGCTCCTCAGGGTAGCGGTTCCCCTGCAAGCAGTGTCAGCAGGGTCCCCCATGCGCCAGGAAGGACCAGGCTGGGGTTCCCCTGTCTCCCTGCCTGGCCCCCAGGGTCCTGGTGGGTGAGATTGCAACAGCAAATCCCAGGGGTGGGAAGGGGAGAGGGTGGAGGCAGCTGTGGCAAGGGGCAGTAGCAGCATGGGCATGCGGAGGTTTGTTGCGCCTCTCAGAGGCTCCTTCCTATGGTTTGGGAGGTCCCAGCATTGCCGTACAGCCATACAGCCATGGGTACTGGCACAGGGCAGAGCTAGTGATTTGGCTCTGCTGGAGGTGGCAGGGGGCACCCTGGCTGTCACTGTCCTGGAGCAGCAGATGTCCAGCACCACTGTTACCCCAGTACCTAGGATTCCAAGAGACAGCACAGGCCATCGCAGGTTTGTGCTAAGGTCTGACTTCCCCATGTCCTGGTGATTTGGGGACCTGCTGGCTCAGTGTCAGGGAGGCGAGAGGCCATGGGGGAAGGAGCAGGTCTCTCCAGTGAGCACCTTTCCTGAGCATCTCTTCTGGGCCCTGGAGCTGGAGGGCCACCATGAGTGCCCTGCCATGAAAGCCTCCAGTTGCAACCCTCAGACGGTGCCTTTGCATCCTTCTGGCCTCACCTCTGGACCAGGGCTACCACAGCCACATGGCTGGGGCAGGACACGGAGCTGGGGCCGGGTGGCTGTGAGTCCCAGGCGTCACTGGAGCAGGCCCGTTGGTGGGCGGCTGTGTGAGCACCTGTGTGTGCCCAGCACAGGCTCTGTGCACCTATGTGCATGCACCACACGCTTGCATGGGAGGGTAGTGCAAGAGGCGATGCCTTTACCAGAGCATCATCGCCTCCGTGTGCACGCATGCTGCAGCTGAGGCATCGATGCTCGGAGGGGACTGCTGTGTGCCAGGGACTCGGCCACAGCTGCCGTGGCAGTGTCACGTTTTCTGCTGCAGGATAGAGCGGGACAAGGCCTTTGCGCACAGGAAAGCAGAGCGGGCTGCTGTGCGGATGCACCTGCGTGACAAATACCACCTGGCACAGGTAAGGCCAGGCCCCAGCCAACCTCAGCAGGGTGCTGCCTCTGCCTCCTCACACTGGTGTCCCAGGGGCTCCCAGACCCCTGGCCCTGCAGAACAGCCCCAGACTGGATGGCTGCCCGGTCTCCCCACAGTGCCCTGGGACGGGAGGTGATTCCTGAAGGGGGCAGCAAACAGCTGCTGTCTCCATCCATCCTGTCTGCCCGCACACAGTCCGAACCCAGCACCAGACAGCTCCAGTGTCCTCCCAAGCATCCCATGTTTCCAGGTGCCCCAGAGCCAGGGAGCACCCAGAGTAATGCTGAGGGCTGTCCTGTGGCTGGCAGATGCTGGGGTTTGGCTGCGGCCCTGACGCCATCTCCCACTTGCAGGACGAGCGGGACGATGCCCAGCTGCACGTGGCAGGCGGCTCCGTGGAGCTGCCAGAGGAGCTAGCTGCCATGGTGCAAGGCGAGGAGGAGGAGGAGGAGGAGGAAGATGGGGCACTCTCCTTCTTGACGAAGCTGCGCGAGGTGGATTTCCAGGCTCTGAGGGGTCGGGCACAGGACACGGTGGAGGAGGTGAAGGAGAAATGCTCCATGATGTAGTGCCAGGCTGCCTGCTCGGACCGGATGCCACCTCCACCCATGGGTGCTAGCGATCTGAGACCCTGTGGGTGAGATCTGCCGCACTGGGGCTCAGCCCCAGCTCCACAAAGGCTCCACCGAGGCTCCTAAATTCCCCTAAATCCCTTGCTGAACCCCTGGGGAACTGATGGGACATAGGTATTACAGATGCCTGGCACAGAGGGGTCCCATCACATGCTGATGGTGAGCACGGGGCACCACTGGCCATCCCCATGCCCAGCAGGCCACTGGTGGCCCCCCAGCCTGTGAACTGGCCCCCAGCCCTCCTCTCTGCTAGGGATGCTGGCCCCAGCCCTGACATCCCATCCATGGGTGCCAGGCAGTGAATGGGTGCCTGTCCCATACGGATACCCTTGGCCAAGCCTGCCGGGCAGCCAGAGATGACCAGGTCTAGGCACGGTGTGTTTGCCATGAGAACAGCCATCC